TCCTAACCAGCATTATACCAGAGTTTGTAGCTAGTTTAATAAGGAAAGAAAAAGAAATTGGCATATAGATTGGGAAGAAGGAATAGAACTGTTTCTATTTACAAATGACATTGTCTACACAGAAAATCCTACAAAATGTATAATTGGGGTTTTTTTGGTACTGGAGATAGAACTCAGGTCCTTGTGGTTATGCAGCAGGCAGCAAAACCACTGAGCTAAATCCCCAGCCCCTATAAAAATTTTGATACAACAGCATCTCAGGATACAAGATCAATATGCAAAAATCAATTGTATATCTATACACTAGCAAAGAATAATTGGAAATGGAATTTTTTAAATGGTGCTATTTATGATAGTATCAAAAAAGAGAGATTTAGTCTAGATCTTTAAAAAAATGTGCAAAATCTCTATGTTGGAAACTAAACTCCATTGATGTAATAAATGCAAGAATTCCTGATCTGTAGATTTAGTCAGATCTGGTTCCAATCCCTTCTCTTCTGCTTAAATTGTCATTTTGAGCGGTTTCCTTAGTTATCTTGTATTTCATTTGCACATCTGTAAAATGAGAATAATAAAAGTAACTTTAAAATGAGGTAATGCAACACCATGTGCTTAACAGATTGCATGGCATATAATAAATGCTCAATAAATGTTAGCTCTTCTTACTTTTATTTAAATGAAGGTGCTTAGAAAATCTGTATTTTAGTGACTTTGCCAAACAATGTTCCTACAGGGGTTGTTCTTCTTTGTGTATATCATACTTTTACCTATGTGGCAGTCACAAAACATGCCACATGGGCCTTCTACTTCAGGAAGCATAAATGACTTACAGACCAGCAGCTGCCTCCTTGGGATGCTCCACCACCTTCCTACTGAAGCCACATTTCCTACCAGCTACTCTCAGCCAGTGACTATGTGAAAATGCCCACATTTCCTCAACAGATGGTGACAGAAGGGATAAAGAGATGAGATGTGCTAGAATGAATATGTGAGTTCAGAACACCCACTGAAGAAAAGTGTTCCCTGACATCAGGATGATGTCTCTGGTGGCCTTGTCTGCAGTTGCTCTCACAGAACTAGGTCAAGAGAATTCATGAGGATGGTGAGGTCCCAGAGAGTAGAGACCAGGTAGCAGCATGTAACCACCCAAATCACTCTAACAACCGAGAAGGTCACAGTGCTATCAAAGAGGGGTTGACCTTCAAGGAGTTGGAGAGGTGGATAAAGTCTGACATGTCAAACAGAATGGAAAAGGGACGAAAAGGATAATGCTTAGCATCACAATCTGAAAAGATAAGAATGTAGGAGCAGAAAGATAATAGCAATTGCCCCAGTGAACAGCTATGATCCTTTGGTTAGTTCCTAGACCTGAACCAATTTTTGGATCTGAAGTCCATTGGCTGAAGAGATGGCCAGACCCTTAATAAGTCCCCTAATGCATCACAAGTGTATACTGTGATGATCTGACCCATCCTTCCCTTCCCTATAGGGACCTATGCCCATTTACTTGAATGACTGTACATTAGAGGAAGGGGAAGCTCAGACTTTTGTACACAGGTTCTAACTCACTTTGATTCCTGGAGACCTGAATCATCATGGACCTCTTTTTGGAGTGGGGGCTTACAGGAGTCAAGGCCGTAAGTGGAGTCCTGGCCACTAAATCTGTGGACTCATCGAAGGGCCCTTCCCCCATTTCCATGTACAATGCAAACATATATTTGGCAGTGTCATTTGGAGTTACCACCACATTTCTTCCTTGGTCTGTAAGGACCACATGAAGATGGTCAAATCAAAGCTGACACTGTTCTCCTGCCAAGATAATAAATGCAAACCAAGATTGGTAGCTCCTGTCATCTCTCCTTTTCGTGACCAGTCTTTCTCTGCAGGAACTGTATGGACCCTGGAGAATGACAATAGATTACTACAACTTCAACTGGTAGGATTCCCCATGATTGTAGCCACCAGGGCTAGAGCATATTCATAAGGCCTTGGGTACATGGTAGGTGCCATCGATTTGGTGGATGTGACTTTTTCTATCCAGTTTAGAAAAAGGATCAGAACAGTTTGCATGCATGTGAGATAGACTACAATATTCACTTACCTATTTCCCTCAGGGCTATGTTAATGCAGCTACCCTCTGCTATAACAAAGCCTGAAGTGACCAGATCCCCTTAGCCCACTGACCATCAAACTCATCCACCACATCAATGACATGTTCATGGGCCAGGAGAAGGTAAAGGTGACTGGGTACTTGAGACCATAGTAAAGCACCTGTTCTCCAGAAAGGAGATGATAAACTGTGAAAACCAAAGACTTGCCTCTTCAGCAAAGTTTTCAAGGGGACTAGTGGTCACATTCACACTGCAAAATCCTCTCTCAAATAAAAGAGGAAACACAGAACCTGGTAAGCTTCTTTGAGTTCTGGAGGCAATTCAGACCACTTCTGAGAATGGCACCAGCCCATGGATTGGACAACATCCTTGCTGCACAAAGAGATACATGAAAGATACATGATACATGAAAGATGAGAGAGAGGGAAGAAGGACAGTTAGGAAGAGTCTGAACTGCAGTACTACCCTGCAGAAGTCTCAGCCAGCCCAACAAGGAGCCCTGGAGTGAAGGCTGCTTGGTATTAGAGTAGCATGAACAGCACAGGCCTTGCCACTATAACTCTGCTAACCCTGGCTTGAGGCTGCCTAGGAAAACCATGGCCTCAGCTCCAACTGCTGTGGTTGACTCTGCAGAGGAGCTGCAACCAAAGGGTCACCTAACTGTGCCCCTCACAGCTAGCTGATCTGCAAGTTCTCAAAGGAAGATCTGAATAGCTACCATACCACCTTTTAGAAAGAACTGTCACTCTGTCAAGATCCTGGTGTGTGTGTGTATACACGTGTGCACACATGTGGCAAAGACTTATTTAACTTATTCATGAGGGAAACAGTGTGACAACAATAATTCAAAGAAAGGAGGAACTACTATTAATAGTCAATGGAAAAATTAATGGTGGAATAAGGTTCCAAGTTAGAATGAAATTAATACCCTATAAGATAATAAAACTGTAATCTATAGAATTTATATTTTCTACTGGGAAGAAATAAATTATAAAGTATCAATCTTCAACATGCATTAGTTTTACAAAGTCTCATCTTAATCAGTAGCAAATAATCAAAGCTTTGTTCTAAAACAGTGGTTCTCAACTTAGGCCATTAGGGTGCTGTCCTTGAAGGGGCTATTGGAACACTGACCACCCCCTTTTTGCTTCCTGGTGGTCACGAGGTGGACACATCCTCTGCCACACACCCCTGCTATGATGATCCAGTGCAGCGGAGCCAAGTGACTATGGACGGAAACCTCTGGAACCATGAGCCAAAATAACCTTTCCTCCTTATAAGTTGGTTATCTCAGGTATTTTGTCACAGTAACTAAACACAGTATGAGCTACTGGAATGTGGTAGACAGATGCCAGGAATGCTGTTAACCAGCTTACAATGGCCAGAGAAGCCCCTTGTGACAAAGGAGAAACCCATTCCATAATGCTAATAGCATCAAGACTGAAAACCAGGTACAGATAACACTTTTGATAGCTTATTGGACAATGTTTTGATATTGAAAGACTATATGAAGAAGAATTTGAGTATTTCTTGACTTCACTAATTTACCTGTAAAACTGAGATAACGATAGTGGCAAGCTTCTATAGTTTGGGGAGAATTAAATAAAATTGTGGTTGGTTATATTTTTACGAATATCCCATCCCACATTTTCTTCCCATAAGTCATTGATGTTTCTGTATTGAAGGGCGAGGTTATGTTCTCTGTCCATAAACCTGGGTGACCTGAGTGACTGCTTCTATCAACAGAACACAATGAAAGTGATACTTCATAACTCTTGCGGTCCTGAGGTCCTAAGGAGCAATACAGCTTCCTCCTGGCTCTGTCGGACACACGCTGATGCCCTGAGCCACTGGGGAAGAAGTCTGGCTACACTGGAGAAATACTACAAAGGGGCTCATGAAAGGGAGTCATACCAGATGTTCTCCAGTATTCCCAGCTCAACCACCAGACATGAGAACAAACAAAGCTTTGAGATGGCCGCAGACACCATCTGCCAGAACCTGCCAGCTAAACTGCTCCAGGTGGGCTGGCCCACAGAAACCACTCGGGATAATAAATGATTGTCGTTTCAGCCTATATGTTCAAGGATGATCTGTCTATAGCAGTAGACACTAAAATAATAATACACAGGCAATCCTTAGCAGAATGCTTGGCAAATGCATTTGGGAGGTAGCTTTAGAACTTTAGATATTAGAACATTAGTATTTTAAATTAGTGTTGTAAGTTGATAGTTAGCATTTTAAATTTAGTAATTTCACTAGTAATTAGTACTTAATTAATATACTTACTGTGTTCACATGCACCAGAGGGCAAAACTACCCATCCAAAGAAGTCCTTTGAACATACAGTTCCTAATCAAAACACCAGGTGGCGCCTTCTCCTAATTTATCTCTGTCCCTTTCAGAAGGGGAACTTGACAAAACAGAAAAAAGGCTGCAAAACCAAGATGCTAGCACATACAAGGAAGGTATTTAAGAGAATGCTCTGTAAACAAATTCTACAACACACGACTGACTTTGGTGAATGACTGCCCCAGCCTAGGTGTGCAGACAAAAGACAAGAAAATCCTTTTTTTTTCATTATAAATACACCAGAGCAGGTTATATTTTCTTTAATCCCTGAAAAAGAGAAGGGATTTGCAAACCTATAATTTCTAAACAACACTATACTTAATCTTTTCCTTATCTTGAAACATGGCAGATGCAGTCTGTGCTGCAACTAGCTGCTGACAGTGGGATGAAATCTCCTGGTACTTCTGTTCATATTACATTTTTATTATATATTACATTTCTATATTATATTGATGTTGATATTGATATTAATAGGATTCCAGATAACATTTGTACAATTTTAGCTGAAATTGTTTTTTAATTTCCATTTTTTTCTAGTTTCTTGTTTTGTGTACACAAGGATTTAATGCTCCAGTGACTATGAAAATGAGCTCTGATTCCAATGGCAGGAGATCTGGGAACCAAATCGCTTACAGTGAATTAATTGCACGAACCAATGGCACTGCAAGTCTCCAGCTTTTCTGAGAAATTCAAAACAGGCTTTGCCTGTTACCATGCACAGTAATGGGAGAAGGTTGTCAACCTGCATGATGGCGACAGTCGGCCAACTTCTGTGTGACTCTTGAAGGCTGTTGCTACCCTGAGATGGCTCAAGAAGTGGTGGGGCCCTTTGTACACCAGTCATCTTGGGAATAAAGAAGGTTTTGTGGTAAGCTTATCTGATTAGGGGTCACACTGGAAGATCAACACTCTGCAGCCTGGAGGAGTGTAAATCAAAGGAGGGAAGAGGCTGGAGGCAGTTCACACTCTGAAGAGTTGATTCTTTGAGGGTGTCCTACAGCTTTGACCCAATACTACCCCAGCCAATCTCCGGCCTTGCTGATGAGCCATGGGGGTGGGGGTGGGGGCCTGGAGGGAGGGAGAACTGATCAATGCAAAGCCTGTCTATCTTACACTACATTAAAACAAAACAAAGCCAAACACAAAGGTGCAGCAATCAGAGAGTCAGGTTCCTATCTAACGTGTGTCTGTAAGTGATGAGATCGAATTCCACGTTGAAGTTATGGTACCATCTGGTCACTTTATGCTCATAACGTGTGCCCATAACATCTTTCTGACATGCTAGTAGTAGCAAAGGCTGTTCTCTGTGGCTTAACCACAAATTGTGGACTATGAGTGCTTCAGAACATCTCCAGTCCCTCCCAGCTAGTTCTGGAAATTCCCAGGAAGTATCACACACACACTCTCTTGGTTTCCCAGAAACAGGCTTGTGGTTCTGAAGTTGCCATGGTGACAAGCCCATTGCACTTTAAAGGTCCCTTGGCTGGGTCCCCTAGGTCACTAACAATGGGCACACATAAGCCACTCACTCCTCAGGCAAATTAAAAACCCAGAGTGAGCTCACCCTATATTGGCCTCTCCTTTCCTTTACCTATGCCTCAACACAGCTGACTTTATGATGTGCACATAGTACATTGGCACTTTGGTTTCATAGGTGAATAGCTTTGAATAATTACCTCTATTTTTGCCGTACTTTTCTCTGGAGCAGATTAAGGCAGGATTTAGAATCTTTAAGCAGGCTAGTGTTTCTTCAGATGGACATGTTTTCAAGGCATGGAGTCACTAGATGGACTTTTTCAGTATGACAGCCCTTGTGGACTAAGAGGCAGCTCACTGAGGTTGGGAAGGATGGACAAAGCAGAAGCATTGCCCAAGCTCTACCTCTATCTAGAACAAAGTGACATATTGTATAACTCTCCTTCTCTACTTGGAAATGTCAGAGTGTCCTCAGAGGCAGGCCAACTCCATCTCTTTCTGCACATCTAGACTTCCACTCTGCCCCCTGAGCTATGCCCTTTTCTTGTAAATTTGCAAAATAGGGACTTGCAAAATGATTCCATCACACACAGAATGTTTTTTGACATAAAAGAGGGTGCTAATGAACTGGATAAGACATTGGCCACCTGAAAGCAGGCAGTTTACCCAAGGCTATTGCGGTCAGCTTTTCCTTGCTTGACTTTTTTTCTCTTTTTTTAAAAATTCTTTCCCTCTTCACCTTAAGCCCCTAGCTGAACTTTGCTTTCAACAAAGCAACAAAGCTGGACATGTGTCTATCTCTTCTTCATTAAACCTGCTTGGATGGCCTTTTAAAACTCTATTTCTGTGAAAAGACTGGATCTGGATCTGATAGGGAGTATTCATTTAGTATTTCTTCCCTGCTGCTTGGAAATTCAAATTCTCAGAAGCAGCAGCAACAGGAGGAAGAAGAAGAGAAGGAAGGGGAAGAGGAGGAGGAGGGGGAGGAAAAGCTAAACTTTGCAGCATTTTGTATCAGAATCTGTCTTCTGTGGTTGTAATTAAATGGGAATACTGGGGGGCTGGGGATTTAGCTCAGTGGTGTCGCCGCCTGCCTAGAAAGCACAAGGTCCTGAGTTCAATCCCCGGTACCAAAAAAAAAAAAAGGCAACCCTGGGGGAGGTTTTGCTAGACCACATGTGAATGCTGACCAAGTACTAATGTGCCTACATCAAACAAGAGATCTCAAGTGAATCTCTTTACAACCAGGAAACCTGTCTGTTCTATATGCTATCCCAACAGGAACCATCTCTACTTCTGTATAGAACAATGTGCCAACAGAAGAAACAGAACAGAGGGAAGGATTACACCTATTTCAGAACTCCTAAACTCTGACCCTGATTCCTGGCTATTGTGCTATATCCTGAAATGCCCTTACTATAATTTGACTGGAGCTATCCACTCGGATTCTCCCTTCGCATTAATAGCTGCCATCTACTGAGTATTTTTGGCCATGGCACTCCTTTAATTCTCACAACAAGCAGGTTTGCCATTTTCATTACAAAGACGAGGACAGGAGGACCTGAGAGGTCTTGACTTTACCGAGCATCAAGATGGGACGGGAAGATGAGTAATGTCTAATGACCCTGTGTGGACCACGATTCTCCCCAGGGGATTATCCTGGGAACCACAGTCTGGGTTTCAGCCTTAACATCTGTTCCAAACATCTATGTCACCATGTATCTGCTCCCACCTCTCACCAAACTCTTCTTTGTGGTCTCTGTATACAAGGTTCACTTGCCTGGCCTTCTGCACATTGTTCACTAAAAGTTCCTATTGCAACTTTGCTCTCTTGTTGGGATATTTCACTCTCACGGTGGGCCCCCAACATCATCTCTGAGCCCTTAATCACTGGAAGACACCCTTGGATAAAGAAGAGAACAGTCTTATGATGTTTCTGGTTTTCTTCGTGAAGCCTCATCTGTCAGCCAGTCCTGTCTCTCACTGTGTCCCGTCCTCCCAGACAAGTCTAGGGCTGTTCCTGAGCCTGTGCTCCATCACCTTTCTCGGAAAGCACAGCCATACTTTATGAATCCAAGATCTAGTCATGAGCATCGATCATCCTGGAAGCTGTTTTCTATTAAAATATCACAGTATTGGTAGTAGTTACACTATAGTATTCAAGAAGGCTGAAAAGCCATTCTTGTTCAAATGTACAGTTTGCAAAAATAGTAAAAGACAGCGGAGTGGGGGGCAGGCCCATATAACATGTTTGTTTAAGAACATATTTTGGGCCGGGGATTTAGCTCAGTGGTTTTGCCACCTGCTGCACAAGGACCCGAGTTCAATCCCCGGCACCAAAAAAAAAAAAAAAAAAGAACATATTTTGGCTACTACCAATGTGTTTACAGGGGCTCCATGAGCATGTACAGATAATTACAATTCTAGAAGAAATATGACAGATGAAATTAGAGTCCTTCATTTAAAATCTTAATATAGATCACAGGAAGAACTTTCTTTGAGTTGAGAAATTCAAAAGGACTTCAAGGAAGAAAGTCTGCAGGAGCAATAGAGGCAGAGACAAAAAGGGAAGATCAAATTGTCACCTGAAGTCACTTAGAGCGAAGAATGAATTTCTTTCCTAAAAAAGATGACCAGATCCTCAGAGCTTCATAACATCTCGAACAATGTTCAATACTTTAGAAAGCTTTCCTGGAGGTACTTGATATCCTGTCTTCCATATTTTCCTTTGCATCCTTATGAAAATACAGAACAACAAATGATTTTAAAGAATCCAGGTACAGTTCTGTTTCCTGTAACCTGAAAGAACATAGCCAACATATGAGATTAGTCTTGATGACACAGTAAGGTGGAGGTGTTGGTTTCTTTAAAAAGAAAATCTAGGCATTCTCATGGGCCAAAGAAGAGTTTCAGTGGCCACAGTCTCAAAGATCTCATCTTTAGGAAAAGTGAAAACTTAGCTGTTGGGGGCTGAAGTCTGACCTCTCCAGAATTCATGCGTTGAAATCCTAACCCCTAGTACTTCATAATATGACTATATTTGGGGAAAGGTCTTTTAAAAGGCAATTGTGTAAAAAGAGGTCATATGGGTGGTCCCTAACCCAATGTGATTGGTGTCTTTATAAGAAGAAGAGATTAGGACATAGTACACGCAGAGGGAAGACCATGCAAGGACCCAAGGAGAAGGTGGCTATCCATAGTCAAGGAGAAAAACCTCAGGAGAAATCAACCCAGCCCACAACTTGATCTCATCCAGGACCCTGAGAACATTCATTCTGGTTGCTTAAGCCTCCTAGTTGGTGGTACTTAGTTATGGCAGCCCTAGCAAAGGCACATAGAGGACATTAGTCCACCCTCTCTCTTTACTCCTAAAGAATTTAAGTTCAGACTCACACAACTTGTATTAGTGCTATGTCTGGGCCTCAGGCAGTTCCTCTTCCTCAGGCCCAAGGCCTTCTCACCTACCACACCCCTGCACTCCTTCCAGAAAGGAGATAGAAGGATGAGGGTAAGAGCAAAGACATCATGAGAAAGGAATGGATAGGAGAATTATTTCTCTGACTCAATAGCTTCTTGTAAAACCCAATGACTCTTGAGCTACCTTCTTTTTAATGACTTTTGGTTGTTTTGAATTCTTATTCCCATTCCTAGCTTTGTTCCTAACTGGGGAAAATGATTGGTTGCAGACATTCCAAAGTGACTTCACCATGCTATTTAAATATGTGAAACCAAGTCAGACTAATGGGCCTAAACTTAATCAGGAAGGTGTTATTCTTTCCTTTGGTGTTTACATCTCTGTTGATTCTTTTCCAGAGCCACCTCTGATGAGAGAAATCCAGGACAGCTGTGAAATTTGTGAGAAAGGGTCATGTTTAAGTGTTTAAGATTAAATTTTATTTTAGTTTTAGTTTTTGTTATTTTTTTCAGAGCACATATACCTTTTTTTTTTTTTTAACACTAGGACTTTGGAATGCCAAACTAATGCTCTCCTTCAATCCCCTGTTAGTTTCAGATGACAAGCTTTTAAAAGCACAGCTCTGTTAGCTTTAGGGTGTTTTAGGACTCATTGTCTTACACCCTTCCTGTCCCCTACTATACTCTTGTTGTCATAGCCCAGGGTGTCCTAAATCTCCAATTTCCTTCTTGGAGTGGTTGTCTCCCATTTATTTTATTTAGAGATAAGGCCAAGCTTTTGCCTCTGAGTGAAGCAAGGCTGACTGAGCTGAGTTTGTTGAGTAGTATCTCTGAAAAATCCTGATGTCACAAAAGAAGGAGAAATTCCTAGAGACAATTTCAGCTTGTCCCAGAAAAACCCATCATTTTCTGCACAATTGTATAGGTGAAATTCAAGCTTCTCCACTTGGCTTCTACAAATGCATATCTGCCAGGCATTGTG